CACACACACACACACACACACACACACACACACACACACTAACACACACAGGATTATGTCCTTTAACTAATCTTATGCTTTAATTGGTATTTTAGAAATGAGAAGTATAGATGGGGGACAAGTAAAGCAACATGTAATATTACAAAAACACTTTATCTATAGCTTTATAAAGCAAACTCAGAAAGTCTTAGCAAAGAGTTCTAATTCCAGTAAAGCCTCTTGCAAAATTTTAAAACAAAAATTTGGGTCCAATATATTAGTCATTTCCAGCTTAACATGCTTTTAAAATTATCTTTGCATAGTAAGCACAGTAGTCTAACAAAATACGTTGTTTCTAATGTATCTGGATGTATTTTTTATTTTATATTTTTAGTAGCAATTATGTTAAAATGAACAACAGCTTGAAATGGAACACAACTCCTAATTTCCTCACAGAACTGGTTCCTGCTACTTTTCAGATTAACCATCTGTATTGCTAACACTATTTTCTGCATAGCACTAGTTCACTTTGTGTAGTATAAAAATGAAAAATTCATAAATTATGTAGAATAATGCACAGAGATATATGAATGCATGCAAGCTATTTAAAAGCACATACTAAATTATTCAAACACCCCAAATGTGTTCACAACAGCCATATTCCTTCATCGTATTTGTGACAGAATTTTATGTCTTTTATCTAAAAACATGAAACACCAAGAAAGTCAATGCCCATAGTAAATACTTTCAGAGCATATTGTAATATACACATATAATTTTGATGGAAATGGTGAGAAATCCTGATAATACTGCTTAATAATTTTCATAAGCTATCTTCACAATGAATCTTATTTTTACTAAAGTCATACTTCACATAGCTACTTTTAGCATTCTGTCCTTTAGTTTGTTCTGTGTCCTTCAGTAATCAATCTTCTCATAGCTTTGCACCAGTTTCTTAGGATATAACTAAACAACATCATTTTCTACATCATATTTGTTATCATCTTGTCTAAAGTCTGTCATATGGGTATGACAGTTCTCTTGTTGCTATCATTCCTCCAAGTAAAACCACTTGTCCAGTGAACCAAGCTGTCTCACAGTTTTCCTTGTTGTCTTTTAATGGATCTTGCTACTTCACCCAGATTGTGAGTTCCTAGGTGGTGGAGGAAATGTTTTATTCATCTTTGTTTCCTGTAAGCATTTTCCCCAGAGGATTTCACAGAACACTTCTTAATAAATGAATTTCAGCCATTGATCAGCTTGCCAATGCCGACCTAAAGCATGAGTTTTAGTCCTCTAATATCTAGGCTCCTTTATGGTTCCTACAATCTTGGACAAGAACTACAAAGGGAAGTTGTTACTATTTTAAATGATGATCAGATAGAATGTACTGCAGCCTGTTTGTCTTTTTTGCAGTAGATGAAGGCCCAGAGTGACATAAAATATTATGTGAATAATTTAAAACAAGTCAGAGACATGCTTACACTTTATTACCTAAAAATTCTTAAAGAAAAACAAAAAGGCACTATCTTTACTTGAGTAGTTTTAAGAGCCACATAATCTTTACCTTTGATTTCACTGACAATTTTTTGTTCATATGTGAAATTTTTAAAGCAAATTAAATGAAGTATGGTACACTTTAAACAAGCTTTCTGCATGAGAGTAAGGCCACAGAGAGACCTAATATTCCCTAATGGTGTTATATTGTAGACAATCACAGAGGTCTGGATTCATATAACCTTTTCATTTGTACCAATTACATCTGTAACAGTCAAAATGGCAATGTTATGACAGTGATGCAGGCATGCAATTTCTTCTCAGCAGAGAAAAGATGCATATAGAAATGTCACACAAAGTCTGTGTTTAATGCATTATCAAATTGAGCTTTACATTTATTATTAATACATATGGATGTAATATTATTCATACCACTTTGGAAAAAGATTTTAATTTTGCTTTCCTGGAAGTTTGTAATTATATTCCTACCTAGAATCTAATCCAAGTAAGAGTAAATTTCTGAAACCTGAATGGCATATGCCAGCATTCTATCTGATGTCATAATTTGTTAACAAATGCAGAACTGATGATTCAATGTCTATACTATTTATCACTTTAGATACTATTGTCTTCCCTTCAAATAATTACAGTAAAGTGAATGTTGCTTTTTAATATCTCAAAGACAATAGGGGTTGGCAATCTGAAACCATATGGTGAGAAGGGAGAGCAAGGCATAAAATTTATCGCTGAGCTCAACACACTGTCTAGCCACTTTGTGAAAGTATACATGGACATTCATATGCACAAACATGCACACACAAACACACACTAAATAATTGTGAAACAAAATGAACAACATTTGGGAAGTCATAGAAGCAAGATCATAACTATGAAGACTCATCACATTTTACCACCACCTGGAAGTTCTTGTTCCCTATTTCCAAAGAAGACCTTTGTTTCTCTGTCTGTACATGTTGAAAGAGGGTTTACAGACTGAAAATTAATAAAAATGCATGTTTACCTCAACCATGCCATTGTATAATGTACAATGACTGTCATTTACTGGGATGTATGTGAATACAAAATAGTCTTTGTAATAAGTAGCAAAATGGCAGCTGGAGAGACTGCCCAGAAGCAAAGAGCACATAACATCCTTCTAAGGAACCAAGTTTGGTTCCAAGCACTAATCTCAGACAGGTGTCAATTTCCTGTAATTCCAGATTCACGCAATCTTGTGGATTCCACAAGCATCTGCATACGTATTGACATGCAGACATGCATACACATAAACCATAAAATAATTAAAAAATAGCCAGTGTTCTTGTCTATAAAATATCAGTATTAACTTACTTTTTTCACATTTAAAATTAATTTTCATTAAAACATAACAACAGAAATGCAAAATGGTCATATTTCCTAAGATTGTTCATGATTTTTACTTATTTTAATAGGAAAATACAATGAAGCACATGTCAGAGCAAATTTTAATTATTGCTGACTCATAGAGAAATATAAGAAGTCATGTAGCATTTTGCATTCTACTCAATAAACAAGAATGCTGGAAAGAGAGACATTTTTCAGAGACTGCATGAGTTTAAATAGTCAATAAGGCACAACATGTAACTCTGAAAGAACATCATAAATGCATGGGGAAGACAAATATATGCAATTAAATTCAGTAAATAGATGTACTATGAATATCAGTTGCTAACATTATGAAAATAATTTAAAATAATAAAATATTTCAAGCATAACAGTATTAGACTTAAGTCAAGAAATTAATTTAATAATGGTAAAACAAAATTTAATCATTTTAAATTGCTTGAGACATGCCTATCTCTCTGTGAGAAAACAATGTAATATCGCTTTTAGCTTCCAACTCATTTTCTTGCTTTTCAAAAAAAAAGTGAAAAAATAGTGGACAGAAATGTTCTTTCACTGATAGAAGTCATGGGATCTTGACATACATAGCCTGGAATTCATCCTTTGGTCTGTCTATCTCTTTTAGAGATGAACCTTAGAATTTACTTCATCTTTCCTAATACCACAGACTATCCATTTAAGCCCGTTTTGTCTTCCCTTTTTCTATAATTACTATATATCATTAACATCGTCTTATCTCATGTACAATATTCTGAAAAAGGCAATGGTTTCTCGGGAAATGTGATTAACCATGGAATGAAAATAAAATTAAGATAGCAGATACGAATGGACTCTTTAGATATCCTTACATGATTTTAATCCCTAAATAATGGTAAGTATGCTTTCACCACTTTTTATACTCTTATTCATTGGGAAAGATTATGCTTCCAATAATCAAACCAAATACTTTAAGTAGAAGTAACATATCTGATTAATGTGTATTGTGAGCATTAATGTAAGGGTTTGTTTTAATTAAATTGAATAATGTAGAAAGACTCAGATCTCTGGTATAGGGAGTGATTCCTAAACTGTGTAAGAATGGAGAAACATTCTATATCCATATTCTGCAATTTTAGGGAATTGTACAAGGTTGCACTTCTAGATGAAGAGCTACAGGTATTTATTGGCTACTGAGAGAGAAAGTTATTCTCCAGGGACAAGCCACCAGATAGATTATCTGGTCATATGTCATCAACTCTAAATGCATGTATATAGGAACAAAGCTAAATCTACTCCTCAGGATATATTTATTATATAT